TTTTTTTTGGCAAATGCCTAGTTGTCTCTGGTTGCAGAATCACTGTTTCTTCCCTCCCTCTTTCCCTGCCTTCTCCTCTTTCCCCTGCTCTTCTGCATCTCCCTGGGGTCCCTCTCCCTCTTTCCTCCCCTGCCTTCCTTCTCCGCTCCCTCTTTTTCTCAAGACTCACGTCATTTCTGAATCTGTAGCAGGATATTGTTGTCGTTTAAAGAATAAGAGGACTTAGGATTTGAAACTCAAAGCCCCTGGATGATGAATGACCTTGAATGGGTGGTTTAAACTCTCTGAGTATCCTTGGGGATTATTCCCAACTCATGGATATGGAGCTAAAACTCAAAAGAGGTTGAACAGATTGCTGAATGTGGCCCACTGGGAAGTGGACACGCTAGACTTTGAACACAGCCCTTGTGGGACCAGATTCCATCTCTCAGGCAGCATTGTATAATGAAGATGAGGTGAGGGTGATGCATACTAAAGACCTGGACCCTCCACAGACAGTACCTAATCCACATCGGAACCAGGTACCTTCTCCACCATGGCGTGTTTGCAGGTGTGTTTCCAAGCCACCCATCTTGTCCTTCCCATACTTGGTGTTTCCTGAGCCTCTTTATTCCTTCCTGAAAGTTCTCTTGATCGGGTGAATCTCTGCCGCATGGGCACTGTCCTCAAGGACTGCTGGCAGAGCACAGGAGATGGGGTCCGTGGGACTGTAAGACCACCACTTTGTTTTCACTGTGATGTTTCCACTTTACTTATGATCTAGTGGGTTTCCTTACAAAATTTTACTCAAAGAAAGCCATCTGCTTCTCATACGGCCCTCACCCCCACCCATGCATATTTGCAAATCATTATCTTTAGCCAGCCCTTCCAAACTACTCAGTACAAATCTGAGGACGTAGAGGTAAGGAGAGGAAGACAGTAGGATTTGAGAAATAGAAGGCATGTCCCATGATGTAGGCAGGGAACTCAAACCAGGGCCTGGCACTGATGCTGGGCAGGAGTGGACAGGCAGAAGCAGGCTGAATAAATTGTCCTCAGTGGCAGGATGGCGATTCCAGAAGGATCTTGATACTAATACCTGTCACCTGCCAGACAGAGGTTATCATTTTGCTTCTTGGGAAGTGTCTTTCCTCTCTGCTAATCTGGCTGTGTCAGTGGGTAACACTTTTTTGTTGTTGTTGTTGTTATTCTTTACACACTGGAATGTGGGTTGTATTTTGACCAAAAAAACAAAGCAAAACCTCTAAGCTGTGCTGAAATAGTAGTAATTACAACTAAACCATCACTGCAGCGGTCCCTTACCTCACCACCATTGTTCTCCATGCCCTCAGGCCGTCTTGATTTTGGACAATTGCTTGAGTAGGGCTCTTTGTGGCCCCCACTGAGCTCTCTCACACACTCATGAGACAAAGTGCTCATATTTTTAACCAACACTTGCTCTTCCTTTGGCAAGCTGAGCTCAATTCTAGGCTCTTCCTTACCATGTTAATTTAAACAAGTCAGATTTCCCCCTCTCACATGACAAGAAGTCTGGACCTAGGTGGTTGCTGACCCTGGCTCAGTATTCAAGGATATCTGGGGTTGGGCTCAGAATTTCTGAGATGATCTTCCCTTTACCAGTCTTGATGTGAAGACGGTGGCCATGGCCCTAGGCAGCACACCCTCATTCAAGGCAGCAGGAGGGAGAAGGGCCTCTCCTATTATCCGTGTAAACTGTACTCTGTTCCACTAGATAGTGGGCATCCTTTATACTCCCTTGTTGCAGCTGACAGATTTGCCATAAGTATATGTATCCCTCGGTGTAGCAAAGCTCAGTTCTACACTTTGGTCAACATTTTGCAGCCTATTTATGCCCAGAACATCACTGGAGAACCACTTTTCTATATTGGTGGTGGTATTTCTTATTGTCCAGAAAGTGGAAGTGGAGTGATATATATGCGCAAAACCAAAATGTACAAACAAAAGACCAGGGAAGGCCAGGCAAGCCTGGGGTTGCATCCTAAGTTTGCAAGTCTTTGCACAAGTGGGCCCCTGTTGACTGCTGTGGTCTCAGTTCTTATGTTCCTGCAGTTCAGTGCTATCTTGCCACACTGACTGCCTCCTGCCCAAGCTCATTCCTAATGTACAGTCTTTCTTTATGCCTGCATCCCCATGGCCGGGAAGGTGCTTCCCTGGACTAATGTGACTGCCACTCCAGCGTTCATTCTCAACTGAAATGTCACCTCCTCTTGGAAGCCTTCTGTGACTATACCAGCTGTATTTGCCCAGTCCTAACTCTCTCGCAGTTACACTGCTCTGTGTGATCACCTTCCCATGACACTTTCACCATCTGAAATTGTCTTCCTTATTTGCTCCTTTTCTCTCAGTCATTCCTGGGACCTCAGCTCAATGACCCCAGGGACAGTATCTGTCCTTTTCACCACTTACCTAGAGCACTTTGACGAACAACTAAGCAGGTGTTGAATACATGAGAAAATGAAAAAAACCGGTGTCATCAGGGAGAAGGCCCGGGTTTTCGGTGATTTCAGGGAGAGCGAATGACTTACTGGAGAACAGAATTTCTTCATGAAAATATGCAATACCCACAAGCCATGAGATGTGACAGAGGTCTTAGGTTAACCCATTCTTCTATGTGTGCCAGTCAGAACACGCATAATATGATCTCTTTTGCAGATGTGGGTGGTACCAGCCTATTATTTCAGGGTCCTTGATGCAGCCATTTGAGCTGTTCTTGGCAGCTATTTTATGCATTCATGATTTAGGGCAGAATGACAAAGCCATCTATATATAAAGGGGAAAAAAAATCCTCCAGTGCTCTTCCGTGTATTGTCTTCCAAGAGAACCTTCAGTTCTCGCTATCTGCCAAATACGAGCCGGTGCCAGAGAGATGTAGAAAGCGAAACCTCAAAAGAAGCAATGGACAGAAAGATCAGGAGAGGTAGCATTTCCTGAGCACGGTGCTGTAGGCACAAGCTTGTGCCCACTTTGCGCTTTTTGATGAACGCAACACAGGGCTTTTCATTGAAAATCCAAATGAAATGGCAAGCCATATTATCTCCAGAGGGGACTGTCCGACAGAGTGATATTTTTCCAATCACTAAACCTTTAAGTATTTGCCACAAGTCAAATGGCCTCCTGACAGTTTTGTTACCTGAACCACTGTCCACTTCAGTCCTTTTCCATGAAGAATGTGTTCTTTGTGCCCCTGCCAATGTGCCAGAAACAAGGCGACATGTCCCCTGCATTGGAGCAACAGCAAAGATTGTTGGCCACCTTGGCAGGCCTGAAGTTATTGTCTATAAATCTAGGAGCTCATTAGCGTTTGGTGTCCTTCCTGTTTTAAAATGATCGTGCCACAGGTGAGTAGCCTTGCGAGTGTCCACAGGTAGTAAGAAGATGAAGCAAAATAACACTGTGTACCTTGATTTCATTTGCCACGTCAAGGCAGAGAGTTCCTAAGGCAAGAGCATTGCTTAGGTAGAAGACCCAGTGGGACACGTGGCCAGGTTGAGACCTATGGCTTTTCTCTCGTCTCCTCAGAGACTAGGAATATATAATTGCCCAGAGGAGAGAAAACAAAAGGAAACAAAAGACAGTCACTCGACTATGGTTGCAAGAACATTCTATTGAAGTTGCCTGATAAATGGGTTCCTAGAATGAGAGCATAAATGACAGAATTGGCAGGTGTGAACACATTTCTTCACAGATCCTCAAACACGAGGTCATACAGATTTGAACTCTAAAAGCTTAAAAAACATATAGTTCTGAGCATGTGATTTTTTAACCCTCCTTCAAAGATCTCCGTGTGTGATTTGATAGCCTAGGGGGAGAAAAGAGGAGACGTTGTTATTTTACCAACTGCAGAGTCTTCTGGTGATTTGATGACGGAAACGAAACGCTATTTGTAGGCTCTCCCCCCTCTCCCCGCCCCCTTAAAAGAGAAAAAAAGGATAAAACTCAATTTCCCAATAAGCACCAGTGGAGAAAAAGTGATGAAAGAGGGGGCAGAACACAGAGAGGCCATTTTATTTTCTTAGCCACCTGTTCTCAGTTCCCATTTTTCTTCCAATAAAAACTCCAGTCAGGTTGTATTTTGATGCCTGTCACTCCACATTCATCAGGTGACAGGACTGTTCTAAACCAATACGTTTAGCTCTGGACGTGTAGCCTGAAGAAGGTGCCAGAACCGGAGAGCTCTTTCTGTTTACGCTGGCCCTGGGGCTCAGGACCTCACCTAATGGCACCCCAATTCTGTATGCACCGTTTTGCTTGCTTCATTTCATCTGGCAAAGTCAATATAAGAATTAATAATAGCTTTCCAATCTACAAATAAAAGTATGCCACTTTAAATTTTTGGCAGTGAGCTGGCATTTTGTCATTTAATCATTTCACATCATTACACTGCAATATGGAATGTAATGACATGACACTCGTAAATGACAAACACTTGGTCTCTCCTGTACGGGAAGAAATAATGTAATAGGAAGCAAATTATATCCTTAAAGGTTGCCGGAGTTTCACTCCCACAATTTGGGATTAAGATACTGAGCAGATGCAAGGTGAAGAAAAGGAGAATCTCTCCTACAGATGTCCTGGGTGAGCCGTAACATGACAAGTGGCTTGTCTCCGTCCAGAAGTGGACGGGACATTCCTAATATTGTCAGCATCCTCTCCTTGCACCAGGTGCCCATGCAGCAAGCTGTGCACAGGATGTGTTTTGGGTTTTCAAGGACTAGCTGAAATGGGGACGAGGAAGGAAACTGTGGTTGACAAATGTCACTTTTTCATTTTTACAATTCTGTTGCCATTCGCTAATACTAATCAGCCCCTGCTTAGCAGTTGTCCAAATATCACATTAGGTACTACATGGCTAATGCATGTCCTACAAAATGACCACCCCCAGTTAATACCTCTCATCCTTGGGAAAGTTCCTCCCTTGCAAGGCAGCAAACCAGATTTCTTCTTCCCGTAATATTGAAAAGGCACCTCAACAAAGCTCATGATGTCCTAGCACAAACTTGTTTCTTCCCTAGCGTTCACTCGCTGGACAAATGACCCCAACCTTCCAATACTGTATGCCAAAACCTTAAGAGGCAGCCTGAACCATTTTCTCCTCCTGAATTCCCTCTCTGGTCCTCCTAGGGATGAGAGGCAGCATGTCGAACACTAGTTCAACAAGGACTTCAACCCACCAGGAGAGATACCAGCTGTAACTGGTCTGCCCCCAGTGGGACCTACTGGTCAAATCCTTCACCTTACCTGTTTGGTTCAGCTTCCAAGTAACACTCCTTCTTGTACCTCTCTCAGTCTTCAGGAGACCCTCCTGGCCTGGGTTCTTTCCTCTCTAACCTGGACAGCCACCTGAGTTTATTCTCTCCCACCACATTGCGTACAACCTCCCAATTCATTCTCCAAACTGCAGCGTGAGACCTCTGCACGGGGCAGATATAATCTTTCACTTGGCTGCTCAAAGTTCAGCAATGAGCTTCTGCTGATAAAGAGCAGCCGGCTTCATGGGATCTACGCACAGCATGTAAACTTTATCAACATGGCCTCCCGATGCACATCCCGCCCTGTGTTTTCTGTGTTCCAAACCCGCTGCCTTTTGGGTTTTCCCCAGAATCTTTAACTTATCATAATCCCTCTCTATGGGTCACGTCCCATGGTTGTCACTCTCTTAGAACCTTTGAAGCATATAATCTCAGTTTGTAGCTACACATTCAATGATATAATTATTTAGTTAGTGTCATCCTACAGTTAGACACATTCCAAGATGGCAGGGACCATACTTATTTTTGCTCATTATTATATTTCCAGCTTTGCAGAAAACCTGGCCTATGGCTTATCCATTCAGTCAACAAAACCTGGCCTATTGCTTGTCCATTCAGTCAACAAATATGAAATATCTGTTAAAGGCATAAATCAGCAGAGGGTCTGAGGTCTTTTCCAGACCATTTGGGCACTACCCTTGCTGTGCAGCTCACAGTCTTGCTCTTCTGCTAGAAAATGTGATTTGCAAGCTAATTTTAAACTGAAAATGGATTCTTCTATCATAAAGAGAGGTCGGAGCCATGACACTAAATCCATCATCCTGTTAAGGAAAGTTTGTGATCATCTCACCTCTAATCTTTGTCATTAAAAACTTCACGCCAGGGTCAAGTGAATTCTATGAAGGCACAGGAGCTAAGGACCCTTTGTGTGTGATGAGGAGAGGAAACTAACCCAAAAAGTATTGCTGAACTCTGAAAATATAAGGCACTTCTCAAAGCAAGTTACTTAGTGGAAAACCTTCACTGGGTCCTTGCCATGTGCATCACAGTGATAATTCAGGACCAGGGGCGATGGTCACTAAGGAGCAGGTAGCTACAAACTGAGAGTATATGCTTCAAAGGTCCTAAGAGAGCGACAACCACAGACATGACCCATGTCCTGATCCCCTGGGGATAACACGTGACCTGACAACTAAAATAGGTGTCACCTGGATGAAGCGGAGGGAGAGTGTTGCCCCCCAGGGGATATTTGGCAACATCGGAAGACATTTTGGTTGACATGACTGGGTGGGGGGATGCTCCTGGCATCCTAACCCCTCAAAGCTGGGGATGCTGCTAAACATCCTACAAAGCACAAGACAGTCCCCTGAACACAATTATGTGGCCCCAAATGCTAAATCTGCTGAGGCCGAGAAACCCTGGTGTAGAGCATTTAGAAACCTGGCATCTGAGTCCTAATGATTCAGTGAGGAGCTCCTCTGCAGGGAGGCCACAGAAAACACTCTCTGTCAGTATAGACGTGGCCTCTTCCAATCTCCATATAACAGACCTATGAAAAGGCAGGAACCACGGGAAAGGGACATACAAGAAAAAGGCTGGGAGCAGAGAATGCTTTGTAAATATTAACCCAGCTGTAGAGGCCACATGTATCTTTGCATCATGACCTGATAAGGGTTTTGAGAGCTTGCCAACTATACATTCAAGAAAAACACAGAAAAAAGTGAGCTGATGACATCCCTGATGCAATTTCCCTTTAAGCACAGCCTCATAAATACCGACCATAGAGTCCCACTGAACTTACTGGAAATTTCCCCCAAACCTTGGAAAATAGACAAGCGCAGGTGGTAAGATATTTACTGAAATGAACTGTCTGTGAATGAAAAATATGTGAGCAAAATAGATATTTTATCTGTCATTTTGTTCACGGAAAGAGATCCATTAAGTTTCTCCGTTTCATTCTGTTCCTGTTTGGTCTGAAAGAAGCACTTAAAACTAGGTCTTCATTTTCCTTTTTAAAAAAATCAGTATGGAAAATGAGGGACTCAGTACTCCCCGCCCCCCCCCAAAAAAAACAGTAATTTTTTTTAAAACCTTGGAAGCAACTTCTGAAAATACCAAAAGATGTCTCATTGCTGATGCTAATCTTGTAGGTGAAATGAAAAGAAGAAGCAAGTTGCTGGTCAGAGAGAGCTTTAAAGTCCATTGACCCTTTCTAAGCAAGTAGAGTGGGTCACTGTAAATCCGCATTCTTAACAAGCCATAAAGTTCTGCAGTGGATTAATCTTAAGAAATAATCTATAAATATTTACTGAGCAATCTTTATCTGCAAAGCACTCTTCCTAACGTAAAGGAGATAAAGAGATGAGTAAATTATGATCTTTGACCTCAAAGAACTTCACTCTATATTTAAAGAAGGAGCAGTTAAACATGGAAAGTTAAATTATAATACTATCAATTCAGTTTTTTTAAATCTCCATGCAACTTAAATTGAAATTAAAATTTTAGTCCCTTGGTCACACTGGTCACATTTCAAGTGCTCAGTGCCCACATGTGGCTCCTGGCTACCATATTGGCTCACACAGATGCAGTGACATTTCCATCTTTGCACAAAGTTCTACCGAAGTTCCATTCTAGAGTGCAACTTTAGTTTTTTCTTAAAAAAATAAAATCTGATGTTTAACCAGTCCTAACAAAGCTTTGATATTGGTCAGACCTGAGTTCAATCTCTGGCTTTGCCATCTGCTATGCACTTGACCTGAGCCATGTCTCTTAACCCATCTAAGCTCCTCTGTGCTCATCTTTAAGAGAGAGAATAGTAACACTTACCTCCCATCTGTAGTAAGAATTAAATGAGATATTACACACAGAGCATTCGATCACAGGCACGTACTCAATCAAGTATTGCTATTTTTGTTATTGTCAACCTTTTGCACTCACCAGTGTGGCAAAGATAAGCATGACCACCCACCAGTCCTTTCCCTCCCCTACCATTCTCTGTGCCTTGTCAATGAGGCAGATGATATGACTGAAATTGCTGTTGGGAGTGAAACATGTCAAGGAGTCACTCTGGACTGAGAGATGCAAAGTCCCTGTGGGATTCCCCACGCTCTCTCGTTCCTTTAGATGGTGAGCAGAAAGGCCACGGGTTAGGTGGCCAGAGTCACAGGGTCGGGATGATTTGTACCCACAGAGTCACACAGCCGGGAGGTGCTCTACCTTCAGGGGACTTTGTATGAATAAGAAATGATGGGGCGCCTGGGTGGCGCAGTCGGTTAAGCGTCCGACTTCAGCCAGGTCACGATCTCGCGGTCCGGGAGTTCGAGCCCCGCGTCAGGCTCTGGGCTGATGGCTCAGAGCCTGGAGCCTGTTTCCGATTCTGTGTCTCCCTCTCTCTCTGCCCCTCCCCCGTTCATGCTCTGTCTCTCTCTGTCCCAAAAATAAATAAATGTTGAAAAAAAAATTAAAAAAAAAAGAAATGAACTGTATGGGTTAAGCCACTGAGAGTTAAAGGTGATTGTCTACACTGGAAGGGCTGAACTCATTTGAGGCAATGGGGTCGGTGAAGACCTAATTTCATCCACCCAGTCCTTCTCACTTAGACCTATGGAGTCTGGGTAATATTTTGTTATATTAATTGATGTGCTTTTTATTCGGGGCCTTGCCTTTCTATCTTCAGCCAAGCTAGGCGGGGAGGCCGTCACTCCTCAGAGAAATGTGAAAATAGGAGAAATAAAGAGAATAATCTTTGAGGTTCACAATTCTAGACATTTGAGTATCTGAAAACCTTAGTGTTTATTTATTTTTGAGAGAGAGAGAGAGAGAGTGCAAGCGGATGGGGGGTACAGAGAGAGGGGGAGACGTAGAATCTGAAACGGGTCACCCAGGTGCCCCTGAGTATCTGAAAATCTTAATTTAAGATGGCATGAAGTTTATGTGATAACTAGTTCATGGGAAACATGGCTCAAGAGGCAGTTTACCTCATTCTCTGATCAGCTTTAGACTCCCCCCATCCCAGGCTTGTGATGGGAAAGAGAAGGGACTGGCAAAAGAATTATGGGTCCCCCAGGAAGAAGTTTGAGTCGCAGTGTTGCTACCTAGAATCTGAGGGACCATTGGCAAATCCCATAAGCTCTCTGAATCTCAGCCTCGTTGGCTGAAAAGCAGAGAGTGAGGGCAGCTCAGAAAATTCTTAAGATGCTAGATGATGTCGGTGTAGACCATCATGCAAATGTTATGGTGGAAATGTTCTATATCTGCGTGGTCCAGTGTGACAACCACTGGCCAAACGTGCTTATTGAACACCTGAAACGTGGCTCGTGCAACTGAGGAACTGAATTTCAGATTTCAGTTAATTCTAATTCAGTTTCGTGGCTGCACACGGCTAGTGGCTACCGCCTTAAGACTGCGCAGGTCTGAGACATCCTGGTGTCTTTGCCCTGTGAATATCTCGGAACGTAGACCCGCGATTATAACTTGATTGAGGAACCATGACCTGACAACAATTCTTCCAGCCAGCAGCAAAAAGGCTTGATGTAAAAGTTAATTTGTTATTGAAACCTAACATTCCTTTCACACATGGGTTGTGAATCTTCTGCAGCGCCTTGAGATAGGGACCTGTTTCTTTCTGAGAGCGATCGGGAGCCTGAATAAATTAAACTGCTGGCTGTATTCCTCAGTATCAGGCTTCACACGGGTAACTTCCACACGAGTCAGGAAATCTGTTCATAAGGCCGCCTGACTGGTTGTTAAGGAGGGGTCACTTCTGGAGATAACATATGGCCTCATCGGTCACAGCATGGAGCGATTTGCTCACATCCACCGCCAGGTGCCCAGTGGGGTTCTGGCTCTTTGATTTAATTGTTGCCCTCTTCCTGCATCTGAATCCTCCTTCCATTGGCTCACTCCCTTAGACAGACCTGGGGCTGAGAGTATCCGTCTACTAGGCGTCCCTCTTACAGGAAAGGGAGAATGAGACAGTGACAAAGAGAGAGACGCACATGTGCTTATGCTTCCGAGTCCCCCCAACCATTTGATGAAAATGGTTCACACAATGGAGAGGAAGTGTCACCTCTACTCACTGTCACCGTTCAGTGTGTCCGTCTTGACACAGACACATTAGAGCAGGCAGGGAAATGGCCTCCTCCCTCGGAGGCCC